TTGCATGCCCAAAATCCCAAGAGGAGACTGGAGGGGAAGGGAATGTGGCATGGCCAACCCCCTGGGGGGTGATTTCTTGCTTTCTGTCTCTCTAGTGAGGGAATGTGCCCTATAGCAAAAATCTCTCTTAAAAAGAAAAAAAAAAAAAACCACTCTGTCATCCCATCTTTTAAAAACTCTACAGTGGCATTTCATTTTAATAATAATGACACCTATATTTTTCACCATGGCCTACAATCTTCTTTGTGAGCTGGCCTCTGTCTCTGCTTCTGAACTCCTTTACTTTGACTTTTCTTGATTCAGGATCACTAACAACATGGGCTTTCTTTCTAAACCACAAATCAACAAACTCTTTGCCATCTCAAAACTTTTGCTGGAAATGCTCTTCTCATAGTCTTCCAAGTGGATTCTCCCTTCTTGTTAATCAGATCTTTGTCCAAATGACCCGCTTGAGAGGCCTTCCCTAAATACTTAAATCCCCTCCCCTTTGTACCTGCCATCTTGATAGCATATTGTGTTTGGTTAATGCCTGAAATCATCTTGGGTAATTATCTTATCTCTGGATTCAGTCTGCTAGGTTTCCAACCTTGGCTCTTCCACCTATTAGCTGATGATTATGGACAAGTTATTTAAGCTCTACTTATTTTTCTATAAAATAGGACGGCAGTACCTCAGGTTGTTAAGAAAAAGAAAATGGAATGACTTAAACCTAAAGCTTGAAGAATGCCTAGCTAGTCATTATATTTAATTGTAGATATAGTAGAATTAACAGTAAAATGATATTCTTCAACCTTGCTGGTACCAGAGTCCAGCCTCCTGGAAGACAATTCCTCCATTGTCAAGAGGTGAAGGGATGTTGGTTCCAGGATGATCTAATTGCACCATATCCATCATCTGTGCACCCCGTTTCTAACACATTGCAATATACAGTGAAACAATCACACAACAGTAGAGTCTAGCCCCCACTGCGTGGGCTATGGGAGGCATGCAACAGGTCATTGACTGGCACTGGTCTGAGATATAAAATATATCTTTTTAAATGCATGTCTGTTGAGTTTATCTATTTCTATAAACACGGCATCCAGAACACAGTCTAGTACTCAACAGAAGGTCTTCAATAGCTGTGTAACCTACTGTTATCTAACTAGTGACCTAGGAAGGGAAAATCCAATGACAGAAACTCAAATTTCTAATTATTTTAACCAATGTGAGGGAAAATTACCCTGAAATTCTATATTTGGCTCTAATAAATAATTCCTAAATGCCAAATAATCTGCCCTTGAATAGCAAACTTCACTTACTGAATTGGATACATGGGGAATCTAAAGTCCTAGAAAGAAGAATAAGTATGAAATAGACCAAAGAGAAATTTGACCTTTAGACATGAGGTTGGTACAAGGGACACAAATTGTCAGATGCAGATAGAATGGAAAGTATTAGCTAAGTTTCCTGGGTCAGAACTAGAGAGAAGGCTCTTGGCAGCAACCCAGAGATGCAAAAGAGCCAGTTCATGTTTAACAGCTTTCTGAGGTAGGGATGCATCTGACACTTTTCAGTGGCCAGGGCTGACTCAAAACTGGGACAGAACTTGTCCTACAATTAAGAAGCACTATATAACATTAGATCATATTTTGAAAAACTATGCATAGATTTCAAAAACTTCCTGTATGAAAAGAATTTCATATTTTAATTCCATTTTTCCATGAACTTGTTGAAGTCTCCTTCTATATCTTTCTTGGCCTCTGCTAGGAGGCAAGGATCAGGGAGCACATGAGATGCAGACCATAATTAGACTTTTTTTTTTTTTTAGGAGAGATCTTTGTCATAGGATGCTTGCATTTTGCATTCTCTGAAGAGGCAGAGAGAGACAGAGTGATGGAAAGAAAAAATCACCCTCTAGGACAAGGGCCACCCCACAATCCCTTCTCCTCCATTCTCCTCTCAGGATTTTGGACATGCATGCACATGTGTCTGGTGTGAATTTTAAGCTCATGGTCAACTAAGTGGGTTTCCAATGATGTAACCATTACATCATCTGCTGGTCCCCATAATTAGACTTTTAAAATATTGTTCATATAGGGACCATAAGGGGGCATAATGGTTATGTTGCTGAGCCCGCATGGAGTTGATCACAGTTCGAGTCCCAGACTGGCAGCTTAGAACTCACGAAGGAGGCATGAGCATGTGTGCTCAAGATCCTGAGAGGAGAATGGAAGAGGAGGAATTTGCATGGCCATCCTCCCTGGGGGGTGATTTCTTATTTCTTTTCTCTTTCTCAGTCTCTCCAACAAGCATACACATCCTATAGCAAAAAATCTCTCTCAAAAAATGAAATAAATAAATAAATATTGTTCATAAAATTGAGTATTTATATATGCATAGACAACACCCTATTTTCATTTTGGTGCTAAGAACATGTTAAGATCATGTACCATATATTGACTTTTTGTGCACATTATTAGGGAATCTTGTCTAGGTGGAATATAGTCTTATAGGTCATGAAGTGTAAGAGCATTTAGCCTCTTACTCTTCATTATTTACCTCGAATAAATTATCTTATTTCAAGTTTTATGAATGTGCACACGAAGAAACTGAAAGTGTATGTCTGTATACGTTCACTGTGTTTGTAAACCATAAAGACTGTTCTAAGATACTCTATTTGGCTTTGTCAGGCTTTTTTTTTTTTTTTTAAGCTGTAGCATCTGTTCAGAGCGTCAGAGTACAAATTTAGAAACAGATATATATAGCCAGCATATCATGTTTTCCCCAACTGATTTGTTTTAAATTTCTCAAGTACAGCTACATTTACTGGAGGATTTGTCCACATAAGTATATAGAGGTATGTATTTGATACTTCTAAAAAGGCTTGGCATTTCAAAAAAATATATGAGCCTGGGTTATGTAAGAGCTTATACCAATAGTCAGATTACATAACGCTTTGCATGTTATAAAAAATTTATTGTGGTCTTGAGTGAAGTTACTCTTCCTGCTTTATAATAACATATTTTCATGGACCGAGACAGTTATGCTGTTAAATTTCAAGTTTTTTAAATTATAAGTTGTAAAAGATTTATAACTAAGTTCTCATTTTACTTTACATAATTCCTGGCTACTTTTATGCATATTACTAATGAAAAATCTTGATTTAATAAATCAGATATATGAATTGCTACATCTAATTTTAGAAAAGTTTTCTGTAGTTTTACTTAACTGAATAAATCTGATATATTTGGCACTTGGTACTTGAATGTTTCTGATTAATGAGGCACTTAGAATTAAGACTGTTTATGCAGTTTCATTTGAAATTAATTATAAGTACTATACCATAGATTATTATAACTATATGAATTACTCCTTGTGATTTTTTGAGAGATTTTTGCTGAAGGGCATGTACACTTGCCAGAGAGAGACAGAGAAACAGAAAGTGAGAAATCACCCCCTAGGGGGGAAGGCTACACCCCAACTCCTTCTCCAGTCTCTCCTTGGGATTTTGGGTGTGCACACACATGTGCCCAGTGTGTTTCAAGTCACCAAGCCTGGGACTTGAACCACAATTCAACATGTGGGAGTCCAGTACCTTTACCACTGCTGGTCCCACTCCTGGTGAATTTTAAATTCCCTCTCTTAAAATAAGTTTTTCAAATAAAAATAAAGATTAAAATATTGAGTTAAGCAACCATATCTGTCCAATGAAAACAGTCTCAACTTCATTCTCTCTAATTTTTATCTAAAAAGCTACTCTGACTTTTCCAACATTTTCTTCCTTGACCTTTTTCTCCTTCCAAATCTTTCTGCTTCCCTCCAGTATTCCTAGCCATTAGGTGAAATTCAAGATCATGCATTCTTCTTCATCCCCAGAAGTGAGTGGAAACTATGTAGAGTGAATAAGAGGAAAGATTGTGCCCTCACAATACAGTAGAGCCCTTCTCTGCCACAGCAAGAAGCCTAGCTGCAGCATCCAAGGGAAAAGAAAAAGCAAAATGCTCCAGACACATTTTAGGAATTCCCAAGTAGAACTAGAAAATAGATCTGTAGAGTTTTGTTTCCTTTTGGGAGAGCAGAGAACTGTTGGCAAACTTTAAAACTCTAGGAAAATTAAACTCAAGTACAGTATCATTGTTATCAACTATTTGTGCTCTGACTTTTCTACAGTAACAGCTATGAGGGATCTCTAAAAAGTTTATGGAAAATACATATTATGAAAAAACTAGGCATGTATTTCAAGGTTATTTTTTTTAGCTCAAATAAATTCATATTTTAATTCCACTTTCCCCAACCTTCTTGAAGTTTTCTCATATTCAAATATATGTGTATTTTTTAGAGAGATTTTTGCTCAAGGGCATGTGTGCTTGCTGGAGAGATAGAAGGAGACAGAGAAAAAGGAAGCAAAATCATACCCCACCCCCAGGAGGCGTGGTCACGCAGCAATTCCTTCTCCTCCATTCTCCTCTTGGGATCTTGGGCACACACAAATATGTACCCAACATGAATTTTAAACCACTGAGTCCAGGATTCAAAGCATGATGGACTACATGGGAGTCCAGTGACATAACCATTACACCATTTGCTGATCCCCATATGTATATTTTTATATATGTATGTGTGTGTATGTACATGCATGCACATGCATTTAAAGTGAGTATTTAACATCATTTAAGGGAAAATTATCTAAATGTGAACCAAGTTCTAAGTTTTTGTCTCATAAAATGCTAATAGAAGGTATTTGGGGGAAATCGTTTGTTCTTTTAGATCAGATAAAGTCCATTTAGTCAAAGTTCCGGTGCCAGTGTGTAAAACTTCAGAATAAGTAGCTCAAGATGATCTCCTTTGTAAACAACTTTCCAGAATGTAATTCCCACACTCTTCCTCTCATACTTCAATCTTCCAAAGAATAACTTGTTCTATAATAGGAATCCAGTCATAATCACATTGCCAATAATCTTCATAAATATCTGAAAAGTTTTATTGACTTAATCTTCTAAGTAACACTTGTTTTTCAGGATGTCAAACTTGGGACAATTCGACTCTGATTTTTACCAATCTGAATATACTATTGATACTCAGGAGCAGAGCTGTAATGACTCCAATTCCTATGAAAATGTTTATGAATCTGGCATGTAAGTACTTTATATTGAGAAAATATGTTCTCATTGTAAAACTTCATAATATATATTTTAAATTTTTTATTTCAATTTATTTTATACATTCAGTCAGTATGTATCATTTAGCTTGTAAAGTGAATTTACCCAACAAGAACACACCTCACACCAGTCCAATCCAATATGTAAGCAACAGACAATAATCCATTTCTTCGTATCCATTCACTATCTTCAATATCCCTCACCAAGCTTCTATATCCTCTAGTATTTCTGTTTCTACCATAGAGTGTGGACAGTAGGCACACATTAAGTGGAGACATACAATGTCTCTCTTTTCATAGCCTGGCTTGCTTCACTCAGCAGTATTTCTTCCATATTTATCCACTTTCTGTCAAATGCCAGTGTCTCGTTATTCCGTAGAGTTTATGTGCCATCCTTTTTCAATCCATTCATCTGTTTGTGGACATTTGGGCTGGTTCCATATCATAGCAATTGTGAATAATGCTGCAATAAACATAGGTGTGCAAGCACTTTTCTGATTGAATGTTCTCCTATCCTTTGGATAGATACCCAGGAGTGGGATTGCTGGCTCATGTGGTAGTTCTATTTGTAGATCTTTGAGGAACCTCCATATTGTTCTCCAGAGTGGCTGTACCAATTTACATTCTCACTAACAGTGTAGGAGAGTTCCCCTTTCACTACAGCACCGCTAGTACTTACCATTTTTTGATTTTTCTTAATCTTTATCCTTCTGACTGGGGTTAGGTGGTATTTCATTGTGGTTTTTATCTGCATCTCCCTTATGATAAGGAATGTTGAGCATTTCTAAATATACTTTTAGGGTGTTCATATATGTCTTTCTTCAAGAGTTGTTTGTTCAACTCATTTACCCACCTTTTGATTGAGTGGATCTCTCCCTCTCTCTCTCTCTTTTTTTTTTTTTTTCAGGTAAGCCACTTGAGTTCTCTGTGTATTCTGGTTGTCAGTCTCTTATCTGAGGCATGGCTTATGAAAATATTCTTGCATTCTGAGAGCTGTTGATTCACACTATTTACTGTGTCTTTTGTTGTGAAGAAATGTCTTAATTTGATGTAACCCCATCTGTCTATTTTTGGGATTATTGCCTATGCTTTGAGGTCTCATTAAAAAGTCTTTGCCTACCCCAATGTCTCCCAGAGTTTCCCCAGTGTTTTCCATCAGTACTTTTATACTTTGAGGGTTTAGGTTTAGATCTTTGATCCACTTTGAATTGATTTTTGTTAATGGTGAGAGATAGGGGTCCAGGCTCATCTTTTTTATTATTATTAAATTAATTTTTTAATTCATTCACTGAGCATCATCACAGCATACAAAGTACGATTTCCCATCCAGAATACACTGCATAGTGGCTTAATCATACATGTTATCACTGAAAAATAATTTTCCACTTGTTATACATTAAGTGGGGACACACAATGTCTCTCCTTCATAGCCTGGCTTGTTTACCCAGATTTTTCTAGTAACATTTGCTAAAGAGGTTTTGTTTTTCCTGCTGGGTCGACTGACACATTTTGTCAAAAATCAGTTGGCTGTATATTTTGAGATTTATTTCTGGAGTCTCTATTCTGTTCCATTGGTCCACATGTCTGTTTTTGTGCCAATATTGTCCTGTTTTGATTATCACAGCTTTATAATATATTTTGGGGGACAGGGAGTGGGATGCCTCCTACTCCACATTTTTTGCACTGGATTGCTTTAGCAATACAAGGCCTTTTATGATTCCAGACAAATTCTATGATTGACTTTTCTAAGTCTGTGAAGAATGTCTCTGGTATTTTGAATGGGATTGCATTAAATATGTAAAGTAATGTGGGTAGAATTGCCATTTTGATTATATTAATTCTTCAGATCCAGAAACACAAAATGTCCTTTCACTTTTTTTGTGTTATTTCCAATTTCTTTTTTAGGTTTCCTTCGTTTTCCTTGTTGAGGTCATTGACTTCTTTGGTTAGATTAATTCCTAGGTATCTTGTACTTTTTGTGGCTATATGGTCAGTAGGATTATGTTCTTCAGTTTGACCTCAGTCTGCTTGTCGTTTGTATCTAGAAATAGCTTATTATTGTATGTTGATTTTGTATCCTGCTACTTTACTATATTAATTTATTACTTCCACAAGTTTTATCATGGATACCTTTGGGTTTTCTATGTATACAATCATGCCATCTGCAAATAAAGATGATTTCATGTCTTCTTTCCCTTTTTGGGGTGCCCCTTATTTTATTCTCTTTTCTGACTGCATTGGCTGAACTTCCAGCACTATGTTGGAAAGGAGTGGAGAAAGTTGGCAGCCATGTCTTGTACCAGTCTTTAGCAGAATAAGTTTGAGCTTTTCCTCATTCAGTATAATGTTAGCTATAAGTTTTTGATAGATGGCTTAGACTGTATTGAAAAATTACCCTTATATGTTGATTTTGCTAAGGGTCTTAATCATAAAGGATGTTGTATTTTGTCAAATGTTTTTTCTGCATCAATTGAAATGATCATATGATTTTTTATCTTTCTTATTGTGAATATAGTATATCACATTTATGGTTTTGCATATGTTGAAACACCTTTGTATTCCTGGAATAAAGCCTACCTGGTCATGATGAATAATCTTTTTTATATATTATTGGATATAATTTGCTAGTATTTTGTTGAGAATTTTTGCATCTATATTCATCAGAGATACTGATCTGTAGTTTTCCTTTCTTGTCTTGTCTTGTCCTTATTTGTTTTGGGGATGAGGGTTATGAAGACTTCATATAGTGAATTTGGAAAGGTTCCTTCCTTTTGGATCCTTAGAAATAATTTGAGTAGAATGACAGTTAACTCTTCTTTAAAAGTGTTGGAGACTTCAGAAGTGGAGTCATTAGGACTTGGGCTTTCCTTTATTGGGGGGTTTGTTTGTTACTGATTCAATCTCATTGCTTGTTATGAGTCTTTTCAGGCTTTCTATGTCCTCTTGATACAATTTTAGTACATTATATTATCAGGAATTTGTCCAACTCATCCAGGTTTTCTGATTTGTTGGCATATAGCTGTTCATAGTACCCTCTAATGATGTTTTGTATTTCCATTGTGTCTGTTGTAATATTGTCTGTTTCATTACAAATTTAATTTATCTGGTTCCTGTCTCTTCTTCTCAATTAGTTGAGCTAATGGTGTGTCAAACTTATTTATCTTTCTGTATGATTTGTTTATTTCCTATTTAATTTATTTCTGCTCAAATCTTTATTTCTTTTCTTCTGGAATTTTTTGGATTTTATTGTTGTTGTTTTTCCAATTCCCTGAGGTGTGATGTTAGGTTGTATATTTGTCACCTCTCCATCTTTTTCTTTTTTTTTTTCTTCTTTTTCTTTTAATTTATTTATTTGCATTCATTCACTGTACATCATTACAGCATTCAAAATGAGATTTTCCATCCAGAGTACACTGTATATTGTCTCAATCAAGCACATCAACAAACATGTTATTGTCAGCAAATGATCTTCCATTTCTTGTTTTCTGTATGTTTTGCTTTTCTTTCCCCCATCCTTGATTCCCTATCTCTTACGCTCTGCCATCTCCCACTCTCCTCCCACACTGTCTCTGGTATATTAACTTTACGCATCCTATAAAGTAGCACCTAGTTGGGGCTACATATCCTACTGCAGTCATGGAATAGATATATATTTTTTCCTGAAACTTTTTTTTTTGTAGCTCAATTTACATGCCTTCCCTAAGCATCATCACAGCACACAAAATGCGATCTCCCATCCAGTACATACTGCATAGTGACTCGATCATACACATTATAAAAAATTTTCCATTTCCAGTTCCTAGAATTATTTCCGCCCCTCTTTCTGACCCTCTGTCCCTTCCCACCCTCCTCTCACACCACCTCCAGTGTCCACAATTGTCCTCCATTCCCTTCCAACCTACATTGCATTGATCACACAATTTCCTACATAA